TGGGATGAAATCCTGATAACGAGGCTACGTTATAAAGTTTAACACAGATGTATAACTATTCTGAGCAGTGAGTGTGAAAGCAGCGCAGTTCTTCGTGCCACCCGAAGGTCAGTACGGGAGGGCAGCAAGAGGGGAACCGAGCTGAGCCGATGCTAAGGTCAGAAGCGACCACCATCATCATTCAAAATTATCCTACGCACATGCAGGTTGCGAAATTTCTTTAAGACTCTCCCTGTTCATATACTCAACATGTCCTCTGCTAGAGGATTTCAACATTTAGTATTCTCACAAAAAGGAAACCACTTGTTTCTTTGACGCTGAATGTACCAGCTTTCAGCCACTGAAGTTGCTAGCGAATGTCTGCCAACAAGGTAAAAATAATTCAGCCCTCCACCTTTTCAGATAGTGCCCAAGAATAAATACTTGTAGGAAGAGATACTATTCCCTGGGTACTTCTTTGAAAAAGCAGATTTCAGGGAATTCCCAAGCGCTGGAATACCTTCCATCCAGCTCAACTCCCTGGCATCTGGTCTGCTGACAAGCTGACAGCGTGGGAGGTGAGCGTGACTTCAGGATCTCCTGGAAAACAGCACAGACATTGCCTCTAGGGCTTGCATCCCCAGGTCTGGTCGACAACCACCCATACCAGTTTTGCTGCCCTCCTTTGAAATCGCTGGTATTTCTGTACCTTTCACGAGCAGTGACCACTGCTAGCCAGAATGCCACGTCCTAACTCTGGTTTTCTCAACTATACACAGAGCCAGGAGCATCCCCAGTTCCACTGCGTATTCCCATTTCTGTGCTTCCAAGGATCCACCAAGCTTCTCTTTTTATGGTTTGGTTTTGGTTGGGTTTTTTTTGTTTGTTTGTTTGTTTTTCTCAACAGCACTGATCTGACAGTTTGCATTAAGTCTATTAAATCAAAGCCTCCTAAAACCCTTCGAGTCACTGTTTTCCAAGGCAATGTTCCATTCCCAATTACATTACACTGTATTTGGCTACATTAAAATAAATTCTGTTTGAGTGGGACAGAAGCTCCTCCCTATTTAATTATATTTTACTACTTTCTATTCTGTAAATTTCACCAGTAAAAATTACTGTTCTGACTCTGTGGAAGGGATATAGCCTTTGTTTGCCAAATCTGCCCTTTACCTGTCACTACTAAACTTATCAACCTAGACTTTCTCATATTTCTGATGTTCTGATATTTGAGACAACTTATCTTTACTTCTATTCATTATGGTTATTATACTAGTTGCCTTGATTTCCCTTATCAGCTGTATATAGCTTTTACTCCCAAATATTTTTCACTTGTTTTCATCAATCCCATCATTTATGCATGTTGCATTCTTAGCAGGATTTGCATGTTGAATGTTCAACACTCACACGCAGATTTTCTACACTGTGAACTTCTGGACTAATGGCACATGCTAACAGCAATAAAAAAAATAAATGAACCAGACTTTACAATAAAATGTATTGCACAGTGATGCAGTCCCATTTTACAAAAAGAACAGACAAATCCAAAGGCTACTTCTGAGAGGCAAAGTGGCGCAATGAATAAATCTTAAAGCTTCCAAACTGGATTCTACCTCAGCTTGTATCAGAAGTCTGAGGGCTTGATTAATGAGGAATACAGCGTCAAAGGTTAACAGAAATATTAACACCACTCACTAGAAAAAATGAGTCTAGAACCCCGTCTCCTGGCAGAAAATGGACTCTTTTCAAACGAATAGCCCTAAATAATCTATACAGACTTGCTGCTAGCTCCTCCTGTAAGACAGCTGTTATTAAACAGTGCTTGTAACCCAAATACTATATAACTGAGAGACTGAAATTGTTAATAAAGAATTAATTGAGCATCAAACTTGTTTTCAAGGGCTTAAACTTGGAAAACCGCAAAAACTTTCTACTGCATAAATAGAAATTTTTATTTTTGTATTTATTAATTTTTAATTCCAACACACTCATACTGAAAATTACCTGGAAACTAAAGATATTATCTGTGGAAGAAGAAACAAAAGCTAGAATAATAAAACTTGGTCCATGTGGTTAAAATAGAATTAAAAGCTTAGACAATAACCAGCTATCTAATTGTGATGATTCTCAGTATTTTTCCTCTCAGGAACTATTTTCTGATTAGTAGCTATTCTGAATGCTGGCACAGAAACAGAAAACAGATTTAGCAATTAAAATACTTAGAAATAAAACAAAAGAAAAAGCCACAAACTCAAATATGAGCACAAGAGTTTCCTGAAGACACCTTACTCGGCTAAACCGCTCCTGAAAGCACGTTCACGCGGCATGTCTGACACTGCTCAGCTCCATCCACCAACACTAACAACTCTCTATACCTCTGTACAGAATAATTCACAATATACCTCTTAGCAGTTTTGTCTACTTAACTGAATGCAGACCGGTAACGAACTTTTATTTTTAAAGGTTATTATTAATGCAAAACACTCAACATTTCACACTTGTTTCATGGAAAGAATGCCTCCATTCTCCTGCAAATACGACAAAATGTCCCTATCTGGATTTTCACAGGCTATGGATTAGATTTAAATCTTACGCCTGAGCCCCACGCTGCTGCAATGACTCAGGCAGGAGGCTGGATGAAGGTTTATGCGCCGTTTTAGGGCCTTGCTCCTGGGAATAATACAAAGATAACAGAATCTGAAATTTCATCTTAAAGAAGAAAACAGGTCTCTAGGCTTCTAGCCGTCGTGGATATTAATAAAATAATTAAATGCAGGTTGTGTGTATCCTGCAAGCATCAAAATGAAAGAAACAAACCCATTCAGTAGTGAGGAAGAGAACATATTCAAATCTTTCTAGTCTTTGCCTACACAGAACTACCATTTATCATTTAGATAAGAAAAAAAGTGTCACTTTAAGGCCCCATAATTATATTGCTATAATTCTATCAGCTACCTCCAGGGTATTAGAAATACCATTCTGTAGAAATACCACAGCAGAACAGAAGTTTCCAGGTGGGGTTATATACGTATTACTATTCCTATATTGACAAGAACTGAATTGGCTGTTTATGTTGAAACCTTTCTTCATGGGGCTTTGACACACGCACAGATTTTTTTTTTCTGTCGCATCTGTCTTCTCGGGCAGAAATTCAGCTTGCCTGAAGACAAGGACTGGGAATAGAAGGAAAGGCTCTGATGAACTAACACATCAACCCGAAGGCAGCCTTCACGGGTGGTCCCAGCTACCACCACACCAAAGCAGGGCATGGCTATAGCATAAGGCTGGCTCAAAGTGACGGAGCAGGAACAAGAAGATCCCGCATGGGGATGAACTTGGATTCTCGTTCTTAGAAGCCCACTTTAGTAGTCTTTAAGGAACATTTTATTGATAACTTCCATGTAACGTAAAACTTCTCTTAATCTTGAACCTTTTCAACCCGTACCCCACAGGGGGTGAATTACTACTGCTCAGCTTCTTGACGGTAACCGCCGGCGCACAGGCTCTTATCTCGCATAACGTTCAGTCTTTTCTGTTCTCTGGAGGGCAAGTTAACGTAGTCCAATGCTGCAACACGTTCACAGCTTTCTTCAGCTGTGTGGACAGTGACAATTCAGAAGAACCCATACACACCAGTGGTCCCCGCTGAACTCAACAGAGGTGGAAACCCAGAGTTTCTGCTAAAGGGATTCCATAGTATGTTTAGTGGGACAGGGAAGCAAGCTCCTAAGGCAAAACCAGACCTTTGCTCTGTTCAGAAGAGAGTACAAAGTCTCAGAAGAGACAGACTGTATCAGGAAATACTCCTCTTTGTCAGCATGACAAGGCAAAACAGCCACACAAGGATTAATAGCTGCTTGCTTGTAACACAAACCGCCAACATGTCTAAGGAAAAAAAAATGCCTTTTTTTCTCCAGGAATGGAAAGAAACCCTTAAAAGTCATCAGACACTGTGACCAGCATGATACCAGAAAATATTTTTATATAAGTCCATTTTTATGTAATTCCATTCTGTGTTTTAAAGAATAAACAGCTCTCTCGGAGGAAGCTCAGGAATACACATCAGGTTCTTTCTTGGGTTAACGAGAGAGACCGCTTGCACACTTACAGTCACTTCTGTTTGACCTGACATAGTTTAGCTATGTCTGTATCAAACACACGCTTTGAAAGTTAACCAAGCTGAAAGTCTGAAATATCAAACGGAAGGTTTTCTTTCTGCTTAAGAAATTAACACAGTACCATCTTTCAAAACTGCATACTTTGTTCAACCAGTAGTGGTTAAATGAAATACACGTTTTTGAGCTCTCTCCCTTTTATCTTTAAAAAGCATGGAGATAGTAACCGCAGCATACCTGTTTCCTCTCCAAGTCTTCACTGATGCATAAACCAGGAAATCTCTCTGCACTCTTCCAACTGAATATACAGTTTATTCAACCATTTAATTACCAGCTTAGTAAAATTATCATGATAAAGGCAAACACAGACTTGCCATTCCCCCGCGATGCCCCTGAAAAGGGTTATTTTGTACTTTTGTACTCCTAGTAACTGCTCCAATCTCTGATAACACCAACTCTTTAATGCAAGCAGCAAAGAACATATGTATAGCCTGGAAATACACTGCCAGGTTAGCCATAGCATTCTAGGGTTGAAGTAGCAGGGCATGCCGCAAAACACCTCCAATTTATTTGGGCAAGTGGCAAAAGCGGAGGTCTGGGTATGTACAGAAGTGCACGGATTTTATTTATGCAGAGTGTGTGGAAGTTAATAGAAGCAAGAGTTGTCACAAGGAGGAGGCCAGGATGATTTTGCTCAGGAAAAGGGAGATATATTTTAGTCTACCACTGGTTTTTCTTATTTGTTTTATTTTTGAGTATCTGGGTATCAGCATGAAATAGGCAGACTTTTCATATTGGTAAACTCAAGTTTAAAAAGTAGATACGTAAAAGGAACCCGTTTAAGAATAGTCATCATATATTTCCAAGCAGTCAAACATAGGGGTATCCTTTTAGAAGGAAACGTACCTGCTTCAGGACTTGTTTGATTACAGCTGCTAACAATGCTGTTTGGTATCACTGGAGTGGAGGATGCCTGGATTCTCGACTGAGGTGGGTTCGGATGTAATGAATTTCCTAATGCCATTCCTGACTGACTGAGCATCCCACAGTTCCCGCTAGCCTGCATCTGATTTATTAAACCTGCAAGATGGTTGGTTGTGCCCGGGCTAGTACCGTGGACAAAGTTAGTGTTTGTGTTCTGGCAGTGCACACCTTCCCCTCGCAAGGGTAAACTCTGTGCCAGCGAGTTCTGGAGACTGCCAGAGTTCATACTGGTGTCTGCAAAATGCATCTGGTTACCAGAGCAAGGTAAAGCAGTATTTGAGCTCCCACAACTGGTGGTACTATTGCTGCTCATGTGAGAGCTTTGACAACTCATGGACTGAAGTAGCTGGGACATAGAACTGATGGGAAAAGAGCTTTGACTTTGCTTTCTTATCAAATCAGATCCAGCTTTGGAAACTCCAGAACTGTCCAACTGAGACTGTCTCAGCAAACTCAACACCGTGGTGGTCGGCTGCTTTCTTTTCCTCAGAGGATCTTTTTGCTGAGACATCAATTTATCTCTCAGTGCTGCTCGGCCACTTTGCCCTTCAGTCGTTGGTAGAAGCACATTGGCAGCAGGAGGGAACATGGTATTTAAAGTGCTATGTCCTTCGTTGTTGCCACCGCTGGCAACAGGTCCAGAATTGCTACTGCTGTTATTGTTGTTACCAGCAAGTTTATTTTGATTTGCTAGCTGTGCTTTGGCTGCTGCTGAGAGTAAACTACTTGCTGGAAAAGAGGCAGCATTGTGCTGGTTCAAGATCTGATTTAAAGGCATTCCCAGCAAACCAGGCTGACTCTTCAAGGAACCACTTCCAGCCGATGCAGTAGAAAAAACTGCATTGTTTGGAGGATTTAATACATTACTCATTCCAGCAATTAATGGGTTAGGGATGTCCTTGTATTGATTAAGTCCATCATGCTTGGTGGAAGGGCTAGATGGCATAGATGGTCTCGGTGACCCTATTGTTGACCTTGGGGACCTGGGAGGAACTTTAATACCACTACAGGATGACTGTGGTCCTACTGGAGGCAGCAGGAAATTTCCATGATCTGATGACGTGGAAGAAGAGCGTGATCTTTGGGGAGAAGCCTCGATCCTTCCAATCCCGGATCCCATCATATGCACTGGGGACGTCACTGGTGAAGGAGAGAGGGAAGTTGAAGCAGAATGCTGAACTCTTTGAACATGACTTCCATGATTCATGTGACCAGGTTTTACAGTTGGCAAAGGAAGATTACTTGGCAAAGGGACGACAGCAGGAGGCATGCTTACATTCATCACGGGTACCTGAGAGTGGACATTTGAATGGAAAGTAGTTGGGTTAATGATAACGGGATTCTGATTCACTGGTTTGCTAGGAATAGGGTCAAGTATGCCAAGTGGATCCTTTTCTGATGTTAATGGCTTTTTCTGAAGAGCACAAGAAGGCGGTGGGGGTGGACCTTGGGGAGGTTTATGGTGAAACATTGCTCGTGGTATTTCCATACCAGTTGAAAAATTACACATGGGTTTTTTCATTACTGGGCTTTTTGTGGTCAAGGTTGGGGAAAGAGGTATATTAGTCCTTCCAGCCATTGCACAGGATGACTGTATGGGAGAACCATGTAGCATTACTGATGGTGGAGATAGAGGTGTCCTGTTCATGTGAATAGGACTAGAGTTGGGTGCTCCATGAAAATTGGGATTGTTCCTTGTGAAAACATCAGGGCTTCCAAGTGGGTCAGTCCTAGGAGAGATTGAGCCATCTCCGTATATCTGTGATCCTGATGAAGCTGGACTGGGCATCCCACCATGACTGCCACGATACGGAGACTTCTGTCCAAGTTCATTACTACCCAATCTCTGCCTAGGATAGACAGAATGAAGTTCTTGTTGCTGGCTTCCAGCCATTTCTTGCACATAAAGCCTACCCATGGCATTAGATGCCCCTATCATCAACTTGAAAGGAGTCTTACATTCTGGCATCACAGAATTTGTAATTCCTTCATGCGATTTATTCCTCATCGATCTTGGAGTTGCTGCTCGAGTAGGAACTACTGGAGTTGCACCTGGTATTAAAAACACAACAGTTACTGCTCTGAAATCCGGTATCACACATTTCAGTGCAAAACTACTGTGTGTGAAAATATTCATCAAAGCTAGAAAGCCTTCTGGCTAAACTTTTGCCTCAACAGAAATAATACCGAAATCACCAAGCAGTTGCTGGAATGGTGCGTGCTACCCTACTACACAGTGCAGTTTTATAGACCTTAACTCTGTATCCCATAAAAAGACCGCATAAATATGGACAACTTTAAAACGTCTTCCTTCCCTTTGGTCTTTTCCTTCTAACCATCATCTCCAGTGTCCTACTCCTGAATCTCCAGCACCACCGCTTTGGCTACCACTGGAAGAGCTGGCAGGAGGAGCAGGCTATCACTGTTGCAGGGAAAAGGAGCCTCTGGCACCATCTATTGAGTACAGGAGGAACAAAGCCCAACATGGGTTTAGACTAAATTTCTCTATACCCTGCGGAGAAAAGGGTCCTGCTCCAAATGCTGTCCCTGATCAGGATGAATGGGGAGCTGTGCCATATGACTTTGGCTCAGATTTCTATTCAGCCAAGCACTTAATTGCAGAGACCTAAGAGACCATGGCTGTGCAAGGGAGGGTGCAGCTTCTGTGGCTGCTCTGCATCCCTTGCTGGCACCAAGGGCACCGAGTTCCAGTCCTCTGAGTTCATCTGCTCCTGGGAACTGCTTTGCTAAAAAGGTGAGGACGTATCATGTCCTGTATTACTTTACTGAATTAAGGCTTTTCCTACAGCTGCTGCAACAAGCTTTGCTTGGGGCGAAGATGCTAAATTTAAGAACGGGCTCTACCTTATATGTTTGTTTTCAGGATAAAGGCCTTGGGGATATTTGCATATGCAGACACGGGAACCCGTCTACAGTGGAACAATTTCCCGCAAATCCCAGTTTTGAGACTAGACCTTCCTACAACCACAAGACCACTTTCCTTTTCTGCTCACTAATATCAGTTTTATTTTAAAAGATTTTTTTTCAATGTCTTACTTTAAGAATCCCATCACAAGCAGCTCCAAGTCTGGCGGACTTTCTGCCAGTTTTGCTGCTCTGGGAATTTGTAATTCATCTTGGACTGCTTGGCATGCAGCCTCTGAATATGCAAACTTAAACTCGAATAATGAGCTAAAGACTTCATGTTCAAATGAACTCAGAGGTGCCTTTAAATTCCTCTACTCACAAGAACCCAATTCCCTTCTTTCCTTCAGCCTGGCCATAGGAGACAGATGGCACTGACAATCCTGCCTTCATCCTATTTGCTCAACCAGCTACATCATGACAGAAACAAACATATTACCTTTCCCAAAATACAACCAAAGTCTCATTTAAGGGACAAATCTCAAGACTGAATTGCAAAACAAAGCATGTACGAGACCCCTCACCTTGAATGCTGGACCTAAGCAAATGGTCAAATGTAAGTGTGCATAAATGAAAAGACATTTCCTTTACAAAAGGAATTTATTGGGAAATTTTCTTCTTTGCTTAGTGCACAAAATTCTGATCAACAGAGAAGGTAAGACCACATAAATGTGACTTGTGTCTTTAATATTTAGCTGGTTTTACGTCCTTCATTTTGCTAAGTTTTTGAAAACAAAAATGTAATTTAAGTACTACTACTACTACTAAAAAAAAATTAATAAGGAAAATGCATAGTAATTTGGGAAATTGCACTGTTCAGTTTAAAAGCATAAATTACATTGCAAAAAAATCAATTTAAACAAAGCTTTAAAATCATAAATAGCAATTTGAAAATGGAAGAGCACGTCAGCACTATGAACAGCGCTGGTATCTTAGCACTGCCTACCTATCTGAAATTTATTATTTATTTTTATATCCTTAAAATTTTCCAGTTTGAAGTCAGGTTGCAGAGCGGTTAGCAATCACCCAGCTATTATTACAGCAATGCAGAGGTGCAAAAGATCTCTCAGATTATCAAGGGCCATTTCCCAGAAGTTGCACGCATCACAGTAAATGACCATAAACTTACTGAGCTCTGTCTTAACAGTAACTTCACTCCTGTGTCCTAACGATCTGGATTTGTAAGACTGCTTTGAAACCTTTTCTTGTAATCCTTAGAAAGCACTTAATTTTCAGTTTAAGTTTCTACGCAACTTGTGTTTTTGTAGCTGCTTCTTTCAGTGCTAACTTTGTCCTTCAGTAGCTGTATTTTCTGGTGCTGATTCTCCTGATGCCTTTATTGATGGCAATCGTATCTCCTTTCAGCCACCACTTTGCCAGGATGAACAAGCTAAAGTCTTCTAGATGACTTTCATAAAACAGGTTTTGCAGTTCACTAAGAGAAAAGCCTCTGCTCTATTTCAGCTTGAGCGCCGCTAGCGAGAACAGGGGCGTGGAAAGGCAGTAAGCATACAACGGCATTTGTACTTCTCTCTCTTTGAGTCACATTGATCTGCACCATGCTGCCATCTGGTACTGCTCACAGGCATCTTTGATCAGCTACTATATCTAGGGCTTCTTTCTCAATAATTTACAGCTAATAGCTTTTTTCACTAGTCCCCAGGTGAATAACCTTACAATTAACAGGATTTGTTGCTATACCTTTTCTTTCACTCCAGGTCTCAATGATCCCCCAGTTTTTCAACATGTTTTGATCTTCTCTCGTTTCGATAATACTTGTCAATTCCATCCATCAACAAACCACCTCATCTTTTTGTTGATATGGATAATTAAAATGCTAATCCAGGTTGGTCCCCCAAAATAATCCTTGAGAAATTACAGTGGAGATCTTCTCTTGCTGTATATTCTGCCTTGCAATACAATTTCCCATTTAGCCAAGTCCTTAGCCACATTCTAATCCCTTTATAATCACTTTATTCTGCTTCCCTAATTTCCCATGTGACAGAATATCAGACATATTACTACAGTTCCAAAAGATGAGAGCTAATGTATTTTCTTTGTCTAGAACAATCTGATATCTTTTCCAAGAAAATCATGCTCTTAGTCTGCGATGACCTGCTTTTTAGACTAATTTTCTATCTACCTACATCTCTCTAACTACTACCTCCATTTCTTCCTTGAATCTGTTTACTATTGCACTCATAGACACATTAGACTTTTGGGGGTGTTTTTGCATAGTAATTATATATATTTAAAATTAGGTCATTAAATGATTCTGCAGGATTTTACTCACTTGTTCCACCACCAGGACTAGTTAGAACTAGTGAAGGATGTGGTGCTTCCATGCTTTTATGAAGTGTAGCCACAGCAATAATTTTCCTTTTATGTATGCATAGTTTGGTGACATCTTCGTCCGCTTTAACATCTTCAGCAGTTCTCTGCTTCACAGCAGCTCCAGGATCAAAATTAAAGACCTAAGAGTAAAAATGCCAACATTTAAAATAATGATTATAGGCAGCAAACTCACCAAATATACCTAAACCAGAAATTTTACACAGAATTAAATTTGCCTCTGTTCCTCTCAGCTATCTGACTGCTCCTACATTGCCCAAGAGATACCTTTACAGTACGTTTCAAAATTATAAATAAAAAGTGAATATATTTATAATAAGTAAACAGAGTCACAGAAGTTGTCATCTAGCAACAGAACTTCAACACTCCTCAGTATAAAGCGTACAGAGAAAAAAAGGAGAAAGGACCACATGTGTTTGAGATTGCCCTGTGATGAAGAAAAGTTTACAATTTGTGCATAGACAATAAAATTGTGAAGCTGATACTGAATCTATCACGTAAGTCAGTGTCTTGCTCTGATTCTCACATGTTAACACGACATTGTCAATGGTACGTTTCCAGTTTAACAGGAGAATGTTCAAACACCATAAAAACTGAGTCAGGTCTTTTCCATGAGGGGAGAAGGCAGAGCTGAGATTGGTTTTGTATGTTATGGTAGATCTTTGGGTGTATACCACTTATGTCATTTTATATACATGATCTAAACAGAGATTGAGTCACAGCATAGCACATCAGCTGACATACTTAGCTCATGAGGATTATAGCACAGCGATCCAAAATGATGCTTTTCTTTACCTTGGGAAGAACAAGAGGACATTCTAGGCCACACTTGCATGTTCCATCAGTCAGCAAGTAAGTCTTCACCTGCTCCAAGCAGGATAATAAAGACCCACTGGGACTGTAAAGGAACAGAAATGATGAATACAAGCTATTTGATAGGTCATGATTTCTATCTACCATTCTAACAGCTCACACAGAGAGTGTTTAAAATAACACAGCTAAGATTTCGTATTTTGTTCCATAGTACTTCTTCCTTTTAGTCAAGAACTGAGTTGATACTTACCAAAACCAGCCCCCCAACCCCCATTTTAAAGGAAGATTTTACTATAGAAAAACAAACATAGCAAATGCAGAGAAAAGAAGGAACTGAGATTATTGATATTTACTATTCACATTACAGTCCTGCTTTAAAGTCTTAACTACTGCCTAACTACACTAAGATTATTTTTCTCCCTTCTCTCTCCTATAAAGTGTAACACACAAGCAGAGTGCAGTCCCATGGACCTTCTCCCCCTCCACCACATCACTGCAGTTCCATGCAGGCATGACAGCCATCTGTACTTTTTAGACCTGGGACCTAACTTAAAAAGAAAACCCACAAAAGTGTGTTTCAAGAATTACGAGAAAACCCATACAGAAAAGGGGGCACAGTAACAAAACTGTTGTAGTGGGGTCTCTTAGTTGCATAAACAGTTTGGTTTCGTTCAGCTAAAATTTCAACTCTCTCACTGAAAGTGAGAAATATTATACCAAGAAGCCAGTCCAGTGAGTTTCTGATAAACTGCACTTGGGTTTCTCTAACTCCCACCAGAAAAATCATTATCTCCATATCCAAAAATAGGACATTGGAAATTCTGTTACGGCAAAATCACTAATTCATAAGATGAAAAAAGTTCTCATGTCACAAGCTTCTAACTTCCAGGTTGCTCTTTATTACTTAGCCATCTAAACTGTTTATCAGGGAAAGAATACTATAATTTATGAGGACTGGGTAAAACACTGGTTCTTAATGGCAGCTGTAAACAGCCCTTATTCTAACAACAAAAAAAACCCCCTTAAGTGGAATAGTTTGGATCATGAAAACAGTCAAGAGTCAAAATACCAAACTATGATGAACTTTCGTACTTAAAACCTGATGTATAAACACTTAATTCTGCACAGGAACTAAGTCACACATAAAGCAACATCTGCAAGTGACATTTAAAGTTATGCTATTTAAATAAGTTATTTATTTGCCAGACTTGCCCTGAAATAATTATTTTAGAGAGAACCGCCCAGATCGCGCATGTGAAACAGTGACAGTTCTGAGAGTAAGCAAGGTAAAAGAGCAATCTAAAAGTAACAGTACGGGTATGAAGTGATAGATAGGTCAGAAAACCTTCCCCATCTTAAATTGAAATACTTGGGGAGAATGGGGAAATTACTCTTTATTTTTATTTATTTTAACTTCACCTTTAGACTGGTTAAACCACGGTGCTACCGTTATCGCATTTTAACTCAGTGAGTATCATTTGTTCTCTACTTTGGCTCCGCATCTCCAGCGTTGGCTGATCGCTTTGGGCTTTCCCAACCTGTCCTGATTACACACACAGGAGGGACTGCTCACCCCAGGCGACGTCCTGACTTGAAGATGTAACAGCTTCCCACGGGAGAAACTCACATTGGCATTTGCTCTACACTATCCCATCTACATGCAAAAATCTCTACAGACACTTTCTGTGACGCTTAAAAACTCAGGTTAAACGGCATCCCTGGGAATATGCTCTGGAGTCAGGATGCCATTTTATTTGCACTGGTAAAAAAGGCCCACTGCGCAGCAAGAGTAAAGCTATACCATTTGAGTTCATTTTTTCCCCCTATTTCTAGAGTAGAGCAATTTCAAATAACCTTCCTTGGCGTGCAGTTTGCCTGGGCACACATATCCCGTTCAGGCACAAGGAGATACTGGAGCCTGGAAACAACAGACCTGTAAGGCACACACGTACTGCACCGACGATCCGTGGGTGTAAAGGAAGGTCTGGATCCTCGTGCTTACCAGCAGTGCACAGAGCAGTCCACTGAATCTGTGGCATGTGGGATTCAGCAACCCTTCTGCACTTATATGCATGGTTATTTGTTCACAAGGAAAAACAACATTTAAAAAAGGCCCAATTTTTCTGTTTCTGCCTTGTTCCTGGGAAGACCTATGTAATTGCAAAGTATCTTTGTGTGCATAAATTTCCTCACGCTCCTATACTGCAAAGGATAATCCACAGCTTCCTTTGTACGAAACTACCGTTTTTTTTCAGCTCTGAGGTCATCCAGAAGTTTTAGGCCTCCCAAAGAAACAAGAAATAGGAAACTATAAAATATATTAGGATCTGTTACTGTCAGTTGTGAAATGTGTTCCTGTTATTAAAGAGCTTTTCTCAGTTTATTCCACCGATGACTATTCACGAACAGTAAGCCGAAGGAGAGATTTAGATCCTGCTTTAAGGCAGCAGTACTGTTTTACTAAGAAAAGCACTGAGACTCAACTCAGTGCTTTTACCAGGTAATAAAACTAGTTAATTAATGGATTTAATCCAAAACAACTGTTGACAGTTGATGGAATAGCACACGTGCTTTGTAAGGAAGCACAAATAGAATGAGTCCTATTCAGCTGGGATCATCTATTCTAGTTAAATCGTGTCAGATCTTAATATATACACTAATTTTCCCTTGGATAGCTTTTGAGTCAATATTGTTTGACCTTTCACTCTCTCAATAAAGGCTGTGCATATTTTCAGGGCAGTTGTTCCTTCAGAAGGGCAGTGCAGCACTAGAGCAGGTTACCCGGAGAGGTGGTAGAAACTCAGTCCTTGAAGATGCAGCTGGTGAAACCAAGGGCTGACCTGACCGAGTGCTGCAGACACTCCACATCAAGCAGGAACTTGGATTATTTGACTTCCATCCTTCCCAACCAACGCGTCCTACTCTGTACCTTTCACCAAATAAGAATGTAAGAGCTGTGGACCATACTAAGCGCCTTTCCTTAATCAGAATGGCTTACAGAAGGCAACAAGAAAATTAACCATTGGATTAAAGAGAAAAAAAATACGTGGGCAAAACTTGGGAAGAGGGCAGAAATAATAAAAGCTTCCCTAAGCTGAAAAAGGCAACTGGTAAACTTGATTAATAGGGTCAAGAAAGTCCCCCTGAACAAAGAGAACTATATATATGAAGAAGATAGAAAAGAAAGTAACTGTCAGAATTATACCAACATTTACTAGCTTATAAACATGTAAGACTCAGGCTTGAAGAGGCAGCACAAGCTTCGTGGCCTGCTTCTTATAGCTGTGGAAAATGAAGTTCAGAAGCAGGTAGGATCATCAGGTATATAAGAATACCAAAGCATTATATGTCCTGATGCCTGGATATAGAGATGATAAGAAAAAAACCCCAACCCACAATTTTTTCTTTCACATTGATTTTTAACTTAGGCAGAGGCCCAGTAAATTACAGCTGTAATGAGAAAAACAAGGGGAAGGCGATTTATCTTTGACATGCGTATCACTGACATGGATTTTGTTTGATTCTGCTAATTGAGAATATAAACAAGAAATCCTGGAATGCATTTGATCTTTTACGGTAGTTTAGTGTAAAACTGGAGTATGCTTTGACTCATTAAAGGATTTTGTATTGGTAATACATAAAATGTTGTGAAGAAGTGGTTATTTTAATCACGGAATAGTGGAATAAGATTAAGCAAATAACAGACTGATAATCATTTAGACTTCTATGATGTAAACCTGATGTACCCATATTTTGTTAAAGCTAACTTTGATCTTTTTTCCAATAACATCTAATTTATAGTCTGTTTGTCTGAACACATTCATTTAATAGTAATTTCAATGCATTTCTTTGTGACTGTTACAGGGTGAAGCAAAAAAATCCAATAAGCTAACAAACAAATAAAACACCTCAAACTTTGGATTTAGGCTTGTGTTCCTGTTTTTTCTACGTGAGAAACGTGGGGAATCCATAGAAGTAAATCTTGCCAGAGAACGTCAGTGATACTGAAACACAGACCCTTCCCACGGCATATGAAAACGCAAGTTTTCAGCAGCTACTAAGTAATCACACTGCTTAAATTTCCTTTCAAAAAAGAGTAAGTAAAACACAAAAGTATAATGGAGACCTGGAACATAAACCCAGAAAAGACCTAGGGAAGAAGAGCTCCAGAATGTCAGGATAAAGTTGCATGGCACTGCATGAACTGAGCTGAAGGCTTGTTGCTGACAGAAGAAGAAAGTCCCGCTCTACCTTACCTGCCATGAACTGTTTGCATGCCTGATCACTTTGAATTTTACCAGCAAAGGCTCTTCTAGAAAGCCCGTGCTGGTGCAAGGAAAAGGCAATGCCTATGCATGTGGGAGCAGGCAAAAGACAGCAGAGATTTCTCATCATCTCAGATGTGTCATATAACTAAACCTCTGGTTAGTTTCATTGTAAAAGGTTTGAATAATAAAGATATTAAGTAAGGTTAAATCTGCTACTGCTCAGCCTTAAAATCCATATGACAATAATAAGTAATAAAGAACCATTCATGCCTAAAGCAAAATGTATAGTAAGGATTATCAAATATTCAAGACCAAGCAATATTAGATTTGAGAGTACGTTAAGGGCATGCAAATGGCACAACTGACATAAGTGGAGTCCACTATTATCAGCAGAAAAAATGACCTCATACTTCCATAAGAACAAGCCCTTGAATTTTTTGAGTACAAAAGCTTAGCTGAGTCACTAATTTACCACACTTTCTGGCAAAACTACAACGAAAACAGAATGAGTAACCACCTCAGGTAACCTTACCTGATATAGAGCACTCCGCTTTGGTCCACCCGTCGCTGCCAACCAACGGGAACTTGCACTGCTGGTGGCCCTCCATCCGTGTCCCCTCCGTCACACTCCTTTCCACCATTCATTTTTCTGTTTCTGTTTACGAGTCTTCAAAGATATCAACAGTAAGATGATATCCTTTTACTACATGTCATCATGGCCTCCCAAAGAAGGCCATTCAGTACACCTTTCCCCAAACTGTACAAAGTGCATTGGGAGGCTCCAGCTCAGTTTGAAACCAAGTCCTTATAAGTGGCCATTTTTGTTAATGAGTCAGTTTCCCATTATAATCCACATTAAATATGCAATGTTTAACTCCTTATATATTCATAAGGATGAACTATATAGATAAAAATTAGTGCTTCCAACTTGGGAAAATCATAATTCACCAATCCTTTGTTACCTGTCAGAAAGGAGAATGGGGAAAAGGAGAATTTCTAGTTCAACAGCATGGCTCCAAGCTTGATGACTGTCTAAGATAACTTGTATTTTGTGAAAGCTCGTCTCATTTTTATAAATATGAGTCAGATCTAATACCTCCAGGTATTATACCCTTTATATGCCACATTCTTTTTGTTTTCTTTTTATCTTCCGTTCATTATCCAAGTTGTCTTCTTGAGTTTCTTTCATGACTCCCTGGCGCCAATAAAACAGCCTGAAAAAACAGATACAGAAAACACATGAGCCATTTTCTGAAGTCTTTCAGCCCAGTTCAGTAACTTGTGAAGATGTATACAGCTGCATCCATTTAAAGAGCTTAGAATCAAAATTCTAAATGTCAATGGAACCATCAAAATAAGGCTTAGGGTAAATATAATTCTGCTAGCATATTCTATTTATATGCGGATGCAAGAGAGCTGCATCTTAAAAGCTACAAGTCTGCAACTGTTATTAAATAGTTAACGTACAGTTTGGGGGAATTAAGGGATGTATCTTTTAACTAAATAGTTTCACATATGCTTCTGTTCAGAATTATCAACAGATGACTAGCTCAATTAATGCCCTTTAAAAATTGTTTATAAAACTGAATGAATTTAATGTGAAGGAAGCTATTTCTAAGGTTGATAATATCCATAAAAATGGAATAACCCTGCATTTAGACTAAATTAATCACCTTACAAAAAAATTGTGTAAAAAAAAGGGAAAAGACAGCATCAATCCACTGATCTCAGAATATCTATAAAACAATTTGAATATCGTAAGTAAAAATCCCCCCTCCATATGATTATACTGTATGAGCAAATCTTCTTGAAAGAAGTTCAGAATGACGTGAACTGTGTTATTCCCTCAAAATCGTCTTTCAAGTTGACGAGGTGAGACTTAGCTCTTGAGACGGTACATTTTATTAAGGTGAGACAAACATGGAATACGTTATTCAAATAGTAAATACGTCAGAAAAAACAACAATCCTAGAACTCAAATGTAAGACAGCATTGAAGACTATTGTAGTAACAACGCTAACAGGTTTTATTTGGAATTGCATGTCAATTCTGCCTTATTCCTAATACTAATGTTATGCTAACATTTTAAAACATAGTAAATGTTACTATAGACCTGACTGATTTTAATAAGAAAAGGGTTTTTGAGATAGAGATGGAACATAAAGACATAGGATCCTACAACATTTCTGCAACAAGAATACCGACTACACATTACATCTAGATTTAAGAGTAACAGCTCCTTCCTTCAAGACCGCTAAAGGAAGGCTACAGAGGCATAAGTATAGTCCTCAAAAATATTCCATTAAGTACATTCTCTTTAGATGTGCTACTTATAAACGTAAAGTTCAAAATGCTATGTAAAGAAAAAAAATAGCTGTGGTATTTACAAGAAGGATTTGGACTAGAAAGGAGCCGGCTGGACATACCACCCTCTTGACTAAGGTGCTGAAATCTAAAGAATAGAGTGCTATTTTCGGAGTAAAGAGTATGATTTTCTGCAGGATGAAGCCTTCTAGAATAGCCTGGCACTGTTTCAACCTTCCTATGCTCTGGATCACTCCAACAGGATGCAATCCTTGGCCGGCCAAAACCAGGGAAGGGACGGGAGACCATGAAGAGATCCTGGTCGCTGACAGTGGAGAGGTGACTGAGAACCAGCTAGCGAAGGTTAGAGTGAATGTCACATGAAACACCTTGCCATCTCTCATATAAAAACAATCTATCCTTTAATCTCTAAATCTGGTACACAGAAGTAGGATTTGGAGAGCACTTGGCAACAGTTCAGGACTCTCTCAGGTTTTCAGTTTAGAAGTTTTGGTGTTTGATTGGTTTTATCCTGATTAAGAAGGTAGCAGACGATGTTTCATCAGAACCAAGGCACAATTTACCTCCAAGTTTCAGCATTATTACTGAATGCTGCATTTTTATTACAGGTCCCATGTAAAGCTAAAATAGGTAAATAATTCCCCTATTATTTTTAATGAGAATTAACTTTCTGTAACACAGTAAAATCAGAATCAGAAAATACATTTTTAAAATACTGGAAGCAGACAGTGCAGAGAAGGTTGCTCGTCTCTTAGCCCAGTCTTGCTGTGGCTCATGTTGCTATTTAGGGCGATTGCATTGGATCCATTATGAGAAAATAATAGCCATCAATTTCTTTTTTGCACAAGCAGCAAGAGACACTTTGAAGTAACTTTATATTTCTACCGGTTCTGCAATGCTCTGCCTCAGCTAACATCCCATTCCATCACCACCGTAATACTTATCATCATCTACCCAGATAAACCATTTTTCAGCACTGCACATAGCTTGAAATAGTACTAAAAGAGGCAAAAGAATTCACTTAACTGCTTTGTCTGTGGAAAATATTTAAATATTTTTACTCAGTACAGTGAATTGGAATAAAATGGCTGCTTCAGTCATATAACTTCAGTCAAAGTTTATTGTTTGTATGACTTTTTCTTGAGAAGTACTAGAGACTAAAGAACTGTAAACTAACACAAGGATTTGAGTGATGTAAAAAATAAAAATGAATCAGAGCACAGGTATGATGATCCGTTTTCCATTCTTCCCCAGGTACAAAAATACTTCAAACACCACACTGACCCGAAGCAGAAAACAGTGAACGATACTACTCACATCATCAAAGTTTGACCTTTTGTCTTGTAATTTACTGTACTTATATGCAAGTTGGGGTCTGTGAGGACACACCAATGTGCCTGTGTGCAATGAATTACAGAAAAGAGGGCTAAGGCTCCCTGGAAGCTTCTTAGTACATGGCTAATCAGTGTGTAACTAGCCATGTAGAAGTACACAGCTAATCAGTGTGTAACTAGCCATGTTTTATAGGGAAATGCTCATGGAAGTGAGATTTTTTCCACTAAACCCCAGCACAGTTCTGTGTGGATTCCCACAAACTGCAGGCAATAAAATACCCAGTACATATTGTAACCGTTGTGCATTTCTATTAGGCATGAATGGCAAAAGCAAGAGGTTGCCATTCATGTTTTGGTACAGAAATCCTTCACTAAACCGCAAATGCAGAGCTGCTATGTGTTATTTTATTTAACTGCATAACACCATAGAAAAGTTAATTGTAGAACAGGTCTCTCCAAGAAGAGTTAAACCTCTCAAATCTGGTTCAACGAAGGACAGACACCCTTTGCATTTTCCCAATAACTGTTTATCAGCCAAACAAAGAAAACAGAGCTATGGAAGACAGCAGTCAAAAAGAAGATGACAGTCACTTAAACCAGGCTGGGTCTGGCTCTTTTTCACGCTACTGCTGGTGTAGGCTGCTTTTATAATACATTTTAAACGATAAGGCAGCCTGGACGAGAAGCTGCAAGTTTAAAGGGACAACTGGTGGGGACAGCGGCACTGATCTATTAGGTTTGGCAAACTGTTTCATGACTGAAAAAAGACATTTAAATCCCAGTAGGGATCAGCCTGACCGTGAATGCTCTCACATACAGAGCATCCATTTGACTACTCAAACCTCTGCATTTATTACCAGTCCAGAATCTTCCAACTCAACTGCAGAAAAATCCCGTCTCTTTTGATGTACCATTTCCCCCTTCTCCATCAAAGTATTCTATCTGAAGTACTTTGGATTGGGATAGAAAGTATTTGGATTTTGGACCAAATCCAAAGTATTTTGGACACTGGATTCTATCCAGAGGCCTGATTTTCATCAACCCATGTAATAAATACCTCTTCTTTGTAACCTCATAACAACTCCAGACAACTCATGTTATCTCACCACGAGTAACACAACTTTCCACATCTAAATCAATTACTTCTTTTTTTTGTGCGCCAAGACATGCCGTTTAGATTTGTTTTGCAGTCCAGTTTCATTACAATATGCTTAAAAGTATTTCATTGGGGAACTATGCAAAACTACACTGAATCGTTTCCCCCTTTAGCCCCCTCCAACCCCTCCTCCCATGGAAAATTTCTCCTTAATTTTCATGTGCTGAAAGTATGTTTTCAATTTTTAATGCAACTGTCTCACTTTTTGAAATGTTGCATTTTAGGAAGCCTCTTTGCACACTCAGCTGTTAATGTTTGCTTTAAAAATTTTTTACTCAAGTGGTGAAATAGAAAACTTGGTACAAAGTAAAAAGAAACTTAAATTAGGTACTAATGGCCTGGATTCAGATCTATCACATATGATAGTAATACCAATGTAACATTTATTTTATTAATAAGTGGACATAAAGCCAGTTAAGACAAATTTTGATAGTCTAATATTGCAAAGATACTTTTTCTTACACGAACTTTTAAGTGTGCCTAATGATTCCATGTATCACAAAGGCTACTTAGAGGTCCACAATCAGTGACTGCCTCTCTGATGCACAAACCCCAGTGCTTACAAATAGAATTACCAGGTTTTGGGTCTAAAGTTTTGCAGACACTTGGAACGTACTCAAAACATTGCTTATAGATTCAAATTTCAATCTCATTTCCCAGGCTTTCCTTTCTATCACAGAAAAACCTACAAAATACATTCAGAAATAGAAATGCCCTCAAATCACCGCCTTGAGGTTTTAGAACTAACAGGAAGTTTTCGCTTCTTAAAAAGCATTCTTTTCAAACCACGCAGAGTTCAAATGAGTTTTTATTTAGTTATCGCTTGCACATTATTAATCTGTTTAAGTCTATCAAAGCAATTAGTTAGGATTCTCCTGTATCATCTAATTAGATACAAATGCTGCATCACTTTTTGGGGAATGCTTTTCCATTTTGCAAAGAAGCATTCTCTTGACTAATTAGATTGGTATTGAATACTTTATGAAGCCCTATTTTTAGGCGAGTGATTCAACAAACAAATGTGCCTGAAGTATAAAGGAAACCTTTCTTCCTTCAATCTTATCTCATTGTATTGGTATCCAGGACTATAATACAGCTGTATACACGATACACTCTGGCCTTTGGTTTGAGAAAGACATCTTCATCTTACTTGTAAACACAGAGTATTAAGAATACATGGCAACAACCAGAAAATTGATCTGCACCGAACGACTTAATTAAAATGATACATTTTAAATTGCCCTAGTGCCGAATGGGTTTATACCAGTCCAACTACCTTTGGTATTGAATTATTCTGAACCGTATAAAGGACAGCGTTATAACGTACTATAACAAGGCTTCTGTATTCCTAATTTATACTATTTTTGATGCTGTAGAACTTTTTAGGACCGCAAGACCCCAATTTAACCACTCTATAAAAAATGATAGCTATTTGGATGAATTCACTCATAAATATCAGAAAAACTTCAAGGGTCCAGACCACTGTACCTGTCTCTACACCCACAGTCAACGACCTTTACCAGTAGCCCACTGGACATGCCCCAGCTCAGCCAGCCTTGCTTACCTGCACGTGGATGGACAGAACCCTATAGTATTTGGTTTCCTGCCGGACTAGATGACCAAAGCTGTCCGTTCAGACCTACTATTTAGGAAAAGATTCTCACACAGAAAGACTGATTTATGTTCACGGATTCTAGCTGATCATTAAGAGCACAAAATATGAATCTCTTCTCTTGGGGCATTTTGGACCAGCATGCTTTTACTAATCAGAAGTTGTAACCTTCCATCCGATATCCTTCCCACTAATGTTCATAGTGCAGGTAAAAATTGGAGTTCACTGAGGTGCAATGTATCCCCAATTTAGGAGATTTAACTGTGTCATTAGAGTTGTCCAAGGCAATGGCTGAACTCAGAAGGAGCACCATTCTTTTAACGTTCTTTACTTAATGTATGTATAGTACCAAAACCTGAAACTTTCTCAAAGTATGACCACCTTTTAACACATCTATCTGTGTAACGCCCAGAGTTAGGAGGAACTGATGTTTTCACTTCCAGTGAAAGAATGGAGAAAGTACATGCTTTCAAGAACCTCCTTTGTGTACACATGTGCACGTATGCATACACACAGCATCTCTGCAAGGGTTTTGACAAAAAGCAAAACTGAGCTATGCAGCAATCAAAAAAGATGGCAGGAAACAAAAGGATTTTCTTTTTAAACCTCAGCTCTGTCTACTCAATAAGAATTTAATAAATACAGCGGTCACCCGATAGAGTCCACAGAAGAATACAGAAGAGTCATAATGCTCTTTCAGGCCTTCCACCACATTAATTTTTTTCTTTACAAGGGAAATGGGTCAAAAATGTGTGCATGTGAGACAGGTCTACTTTACTGTCAAAATAATGTAAGCGCTCAGATTTTTTTAAAAATTAAGACTGGTATTTGGTATGCAATTTAAATCAACCAAGTTATTCTGTAGGTAAGAATCATGTCACCCTTATCAAAGCCTTTCCTAGGAAACATTATGAAATAGAATAGTACTAACCTATATGCTAATACGAAATGAGGACACGTTATTACATCCACTTTGTCACTTTAGGGGAACTTGTATAATGAAACGTGGAACTTGTATAATATATGATGTCCATCTTCAGCAACCCACAAATCTAGGAAAAGCAAACCTGGACTCGGATGTTTTATCTTTTTTTTTTTTTTTTTTTTTTTTTTAAATGGCCAAAAGCCATTCCATTCATATGTTTACTTTTTAATGGTCTTGTTTCAATGTGCAGGCACAAAGCTTTAACAATCTTACACAAACTGGTTATTGTTTTAATTCTCTAAAACAAGATAGCAAGTATAGTATTCCATAGCACAGGAGAGTTGCAAAGCAATGTTCCTAGCTGAGGATTTTGAAGGACTAGGTTTTCTACAACATAAAGAGAAATTACACTTGAGGTCTTTTTCTGAACAGCTTTTCTTCAGTTCCTTTTCTTCTTTCTCCATCACGCAGTGATGATGCATCACTAGTATGTACCAGTTCTGCAATTGGGAAGGCCACCTTTTCTGGGTCCCCTTTAAGTTTTGTTTGACTAGGAATTTCTGCCTCCTCCAAAACCCATCTTGCCATAAGAAAGTCACAATTCTTAAAGTATTTTGATTTTTTATGCAATGCTTTTCCAGAATTTAGCATTTTGGAACAAGTATGAGTAAATCTTAATTCTCTGTGGCTTCAGGTATCCTTCATGGCTATAACAGTGAAACTTTTCTACACCAATTGCCATTCTCTTAGCTCTATAAGAAACATCAAAAGCTCTAGAAGAGTCTATCAGGGAAAGTTACCATGACTCCACATCAAGAAAAAAAGATGACTGCAAAATGTGGAAGAAAAAAGCAATCTGCGCCTACAAGAGTGAGAATTCAGACCTTCCAAACCAACTGCCACAACAGAAGAGGATATTAATAGAGGAAAATCTGCTTTGTCACAGTGGGATCGCTCTTGCTAACATAACACACAGATTCATTAGAAAGTGACCGCTGCAGACATTCACATTTGTCCAAAAAAGTGATAAGGAAGTTATAATTAACATAAACTTAAAACTCTAACAGCAACACACTGATTCTTATGAAATGATTTAGCTCTAAGTATTTTAAAGTTTCAGACCAAAGTTAAAATTACTTCAAAAGGAGATCCAAGCATGTGAATAAACAAACTTCTTGTTACAATTCTCATGTTTCAGGCTTCCAAAAATCTGAAATTATTATAGTTTTATAATGGTTTAATAATGAAGATTATATGAATTTCAGGAACATCTGATACAGAATGTTCTTAAGGTATCTAATAAATAGATGCAGAAAATAAATAGGTAACAACTATTTATAAGTGTTCTACTTGACAGCTTTGCTGTACATTAATGACTTACCAATTGCTAGAGAAATATAAATTTGTGAAAACAAAATATTTTAATGTAACTAATTCAAAACCTGAACATGAAAACTCAATTAGATTTTAGATAAACAGTTAAAAAAAGGAAAAAATCAGATTGGTGGAAATATGGTGAAAGGCTCTGAGCTTCTGGCATAACAATTACCGCATTAGCCCTAGATCTCCATTAACTGTGCACTGTGCTATCAAAAATTAAGCAATAAAAGGTAAAAATTAAAATCATACTCCCATATCTTAAATGCGGAGGTCTCCATAAACTGTATAAACCTCCTTTGTATTAGACACCTGAAGTTCAGGACACAGCAATATTTAAATCATTTGAATAATTCAGACAGAGTTTCTGTGCAAGAGAATGTCAGAAACATAGTAGGATTGCAAATTAAACCTGTAAATTATGCTTTTGTGCCAAAGTAATAAGTCACATGACTATACTATTTTTAGACACATGGTATTTTTTCTCCAAGTGCTATTTTTTAAATTGTTTACTGAATTATGTATCTCTACTCAGCAATTTCCCTAATGAAAATACTCTTAAGATATTAAAAAAAAATGATAACATAAAAATCAGCTATTCAGACACCTTAATGCAAACTCTACAGCCTTATCTGCCATAAATATAATAGTGTTTGAGAGCTTAGGCTGCCTCTCTGAAATCTGGTATGCTACAAACCTGTACAACATGATAGATGAATCGCTAGCATTAGTAGATCATTACTTACTGTCTTTCAGTGATACACTAATTGAATGTGTAAGTATTTGGAGAATTTGGCCCCATTGTTTCACTTAAGAGACAGATAGTTCTCTCTGTTTTCTAAAAGAGGACTCAGAAGTTCAAGGATATTTAAAAAAAAGAAAAAGTGGGTGATTTTAATCCTTTTAAATGCTTTCACTCCATGAAAATTATGATAAATATTTCTTTCTTGATATACAAGAGGTCCATTAATTATAATTTTAATCATTTTTAAATGAATCTCTATGAAGATTTGTATACATGACCTTTCCTTCCATAGCTTCTTTTTCTACTTACACTGGTCTGAGTCAGCTGTTTTATGACTATACCGTTCGATTTAAAAATACTTTCTTGCCCTCATATTAAAACATCACATTTGGTTTGTTATTTAGGATCTGTGAAATAAGTAATGCAAATAAAAAGTACTTTTTAATGTACTAATTAACAGTAGGGCACAGGACTAAAAAAAAAGAAAACAAACAAACAAACAAAAAAAGCCTGACCTTTTTCCTCATTAAGCATTAGATTGAAGGTGGATATGTTCATCTTGTTCATTCCAAGCTGAAAAATAAAGAATCAGTTGAAACAGAAGATAAGCAATAGTAAGCAATACAGTCCACTTATGACGTTAAGATCAATATTAAATTATTCTTAATGATTTCTTCATATTTATAAACACTTAATCAGAAAGGTTTCGTAGAATAATATTCTTCCTTTGAAACTCTGAAATAACTGTTTCCACTTCATATTTTGTACACACTTGATTTCCATAAAACATCATGAGCACAGAAAAAAATCATCTAATATTTAAGAAAATACTAAAGTACAACTTTTTAAAAAATCTACTCTACTAAAGTTTAATCTGTATTCCGGCAACAAAAATGATAAAGTTCTCGACTGTACACACACACCACTACTTTCAAATAAGATTTTGTGCTTCATGAGTGAAGAACTTCTTTCCTGTGTGGCTGTCCCATCCCCTTCACTCAGAGATTTACTTTTAAGAAAGCCGAGGTATTTTTGGCCCACTAAAATGAGCAAAGTACCTAAATATTAGTGTCTGTGTATTTTGGGGTTGACTTTTTATATAACAATTATCAGACATATTCACACTGACACCTTAATAAGGATAAATTTCATTGTCCAATAAACAGTGAAGACTGCAGTCTGGCTCCTAGAAAACGAAACATTTGTTTTTACGATAATAAAAAGCATTCTATTCTCTAATTCAGTACAGGGGTTGTGAAACTCTCCTTGGAGGTGTTTTGCCATCCAAACATGACATCGTTAGGTTTAATGTAGAGCAAGATGGTACCTGGTAACGATGCTCAACTCTGTCCTGCCAGTTATCCATGGCTTTGCTCACTTGATGCACTACTATAAAACCTGATTTTACTGCATGCACAGTAAAGGTTTGATTCTTTTCAGGAGGAACTAAACAAAAGGGTGAATCACATTCAAGCTTGACAAGTATAAGAGAATTCCACCAGCTCGTCAAAGCAGAGAAAAGAAAAATGAGACTAAAGACCGCAGGCACCCAGAAATTAAAACCACGTGTCCCTTTAAGGATGTAGTACATCCAAGAGTTTAAGAACAAAGCTCCAAAAAAGATGCGAACCTAGGAAAAGCACTACTTTATCCCAATCGAAGTACGGTATGTTGTGCCAGGTACTAACTTAAAACTCAAACAGTCCTTTATTCTCTGAAAAGGCTTGAAAAAATGTCTCTGGAAATGCAGACAGTAGGGATGTAACACAGATATTTAGCATGTTCTGGCACCATGCTCCAAAAAGTGAGCTACTGGAAAAAATGTAGGCAAAGAACCATTTAGTCAGCTCCTTATCACAACATATTTAAAGCTTGATCAAAAGAAATTCATTTAGTAACACAAATATATTCTGTCACAAAAAACTCCATAAACAAAGCCATTAGTGTCATGAACAAATGCCATAAACTCTTGGCAGAAAAATCTAAGAAATATAAATTCAAGCTACAGACAGGTACGATAGCTTCCCACATTTGTTTTGCACGTATTTATTTCTTATGTTACGCTTCAGCCTACCATCTCAATGGAAATCTGAATTCAAGGAAATCAGTGGCAAACTTCCAAAGGCTGCTGAACCTGAATTTCACTCCATTTTAAATAAGAGCTTTGCAAAGCATTTCAAAGCATTTTATTTAAGAAAAAAGGTCCTTTGGTTCATTTTTTTGTAATGAAAACTGCCACACATAAAGACTTTAAATACCACATACCTCAAACTGTAGTATATTATCAGGAATAGAAAAAGTTTGCAGGGAAACAAAACAAACCTAATCCCACAATTAAGTTGACGGAATTACAGAAACTGAGGATCTGAAGAGGGATCTCAGGAGAGCAATCCGCTCAGCCCACTGCCAGTGGCGGAAGGTCAAAATTACCAAGATCGTCTTTGAAAGCTGCTTCTTTATGCATTTTTAAAAATTTCCTATCATAGATTTCATGACAGTTATAGGTAAAATATCCCAGTTTTTCATCCATATTTGCAGTCAGGTATGAGGTAAAACAAAAAACCTTGGATTGCTTTCTCTTTACATCTATCCTAAATTATCCTTTGGGCAAATTGAACTTGCCTTTTCTTTTTTTTTTTTTTTAAATCTACAGAGCAACTGCCTCCATTGCTTTTATAAGAACCTCTTATCTTTTTAAAACCTTATGCCCATCCTACAGTGTTCTCTTTCTTCCTAGAATAAACAAACGCAATCCTTTCAGCTGTTCTTTAACAGTCCTGCTTTCTAAATCTGTCACTAGCTTGTTGCTCTCCTTTGCCTTCTTCTGGCTAATATAAATTTTCTTTAAAAGGCAGTGCCCAGTACTGCAAAATATATTCTACCTAAGGTCTCACTGACAGCAAACACGTACCGAGTCTTGTGTCACTGGTACTACACAATGTAAAAATTTCCAGTGGTCTAGGAATGAAAATTTGTGATTTCTTTTTTTTTTTTTCCCAAGCTCTCCAATTGTCTTCCTCTTACAGAGGGAACATGCAATGGCAACTCAGAAGTTTCTGAAAAAGTTATTATTCTTAATGCACTTTTTCAAGCAAAACATAAGTACAAAAACTAAGAGACGTTTTTAAGGACTGAAGAGATCCGTATGGAAGGAGAAGCTCAAGAAGAGAAGGTTTAGGGGAGACCTTTCTGCTGTTTTCAACTAGCTAACATGTGGTTAAAGAGAAGATGGAGCCAGAGTCTCTTCTGATGCCCATAGTTAAAGACAAGCAGCAGACACATGTGCAACACGGAAAGTTTTGTTAACACATATTAGGAAAATTAAAGCTCTGGGGGGATCTTCTCAATGTGTATGAATACCTGAAAGAAGGGTGCAACGAAGATGGGGCCAGGCTCTTTTCCAGCGGTGTCCAGTAACAGGACAAGAGGTAATGGGCCCAGATGGAAACACAGGGGGTTCCCTCTGAACATCAAGAAACACTTTTTTACTGTGAGGGTGACGGAGCACTGGCACAGGTTACCCAGAGAGCTGGTGGAGTCTCCATCCATGGACATATTCAAAAACATGATCCTGGGCAACCTGCTGTAGGTGACGTTGCTTGACCAAGGGGGTTGGACAAGATGACCTCCAGAGCTCCCTTCCAACCTCAGCCATTCTGTGTGACCTCCAGATATCCCTTCCAACCAGTATCACTCTATGGTTACATGATAATTCTGTCTCATGACATCCCCAGCTACTGGTTTTGTTAACTTCAACAGGAAACATTACACAGTGCTTCATTAATACAAGCGTACACATCTTTTCACCCAACATAATGGAGAAAAGAATCCCTTCACTTATATGCTCAACAATTCACTTTTCTCAAAGTCCAGGTTTTCTTACAGACACTTGTCTTAAAACCTGTTCACATCCCAGATTCACCAAATTCAATGACAACATGAGAATAACATCCTCCTTGGAATGCCATGAAATCTGAAAGCCTGCTTTCAAGAATTTAGAATATTAAGTATGGAAGCCAGAAAAACAAATATTTCTAAATATAGCCGCAACATTAGGTTCCATAGGTACAATTTACAAATGCAAAGGAAAAAAAAAATCAGAAGATCTTCCGAATTTTCATAAAATCCTACTAAAGAAGACTGCTCTTCTGTTAGCTCTCTCTACTGAAAGGGACAGCTCTCTAAAAAATAGAGATTCAAAATGAGTTGTGAACATCAAGTACTCTGTGGGAATACTATACATATTGGTTCAGAGGTGATCAGACAGGTTTCTGTATTTTTTCTGGAGAAGAAAGTACTGATAAGAATGAAAATGTACCAATGTGTTTAAAAACCTTACTTTGATGCAACAAATATAGTACAGACTCTACGCTGACTCATTAAGTTGTCCAAACAGTCTATTGTAGATTAACATAATTTTATTTAAAAATAAAAACATACAGATTTCTTCAACTGGGGCACTTCAGATTAGGGATCTCTTTAGTCTTTTCTGGAGGGATTTAAAAAAGCTTTGGAGAAATCTTAAAGCTATGGAATTAGCCTGGTATTTATAGCTCAGTTTCCTAGCGTGTTCTTTGAGCTTCCTAGGACGTTCTTTTTCTCCATCTGCTGGTTGTTGACATGGTATAACCTTATATTTTGATTATGAAAATGTATAAGAATAAGAGCATTTCATTTTACATTTTACTGTAAAGTTCTGGCTTCATCTCAGGGCAAGGCAGCTACTACAATATAATCTAGGTCAAGAATGGTGCTGCATATTTTCTGATACAGATAACTGGAGTTCTATTGTTTAATTATGTCAAAATATATTACTACCAATTATGACTAATACTCCATATGAATCACACTGTCACAAAACGGTAATTTTCTTACCATTAAAATACTGTGCTTCATATGCTGTTTCAATACAATCTGTTAAATCTAGGTCAAGAATGCTTTTTTCTTCTTTGTTCTGTTATCAAAAAGGTCCACGTATGGGTGCACTGTCTATCTTTGTACAAAGATATGAATTGCTAAATTGTTTACTTTCCTATTCAGAACCATTAAATGTTGAAGGTGTCTGCTGTTCTTCTGTTTAATTTTTTTTTAATATTGGCTCAAATCTTTTGTATCATACTACTTGAAATACATTTTGTAACAAACTTTATTACCACAGCATAAAACTAGCAAAATAAAATCAAAAGTTTCTCAGCCTAATAAATGCATTGATTAACTTTTGCATACTTACCTACATTACTCCTCATGGTCTTGCTTCTCGTTACCTTGGGGATCTTTAGGCTTCTTAAAATTCTTGATGCACTTTCAGCTTTGCTTTAGATAGTCTCCTGTTTAGATCTCGAGAAGGGGCTATGTCCATTGAGGCTGGCTCCTTGTCTTACTACACCCCTCATCTAAGGAACTTGTGCACCCCACGTTACATCTGTTGAGACAGTTGCATTATTTAAATTAAAGAATGAGCCAAATATTTTTATTTCACTTTTCTTGATTGCTTTGTAAACCCTTATCCAATTACTTTGTAGTATAAGCTGTAATAATATCTGCTTTTAAAGAAGGGTAGGATGGCTCTGCCTGGAACTGATGAAAAAAAAGATACCTTTTACTACGTTACAGTGGTTCACTGTCCAGAAGAGCAAGTAGATTTCTATAAAAATGAGTATATGGATTTTTATGACGGAAGTAGTATGCATACCAAAAAAGGTCACTTCTTCAGACAACTTGAGTTGTACTGATGCATGCTAAAACCCTTCAACTACAAAGGCAAAAAGTCTAGGCTTTAAAGAGTTACGATACTGCAAATGGCCTTGGTTATGTAAAAGGTTCCACCAGTAATGTTGATGAGCTCTTAAATTAGTCTTTGCACAGGTACACAGATACTGGTGAACCCCCAGCTGAACCAGAACCTGGGTTATTCCATAACACCTGCCTGTTACTGAGCCATTTCCTTCAGAATCACCACCAAAATGTACCTGCAGTCCTCCACCGGCTCAGAGTTAGCGAGGCTTTGATCGTGCCAGTTTCAATTTCTCTGACACTGAAAGGAGTTAACAGTCTTTGCAAGACTTTAAGTCAATTAATTAGTTCTTTTAGAGGTGAAATGGACTGGAGTTCATTAGGTTAAAGGCATATCCAAAAGAGTTAATGTAGGCTTTTAAAACATTATACCTGAAAGCCTGAGGACTCAGTAAGGGCACAGTTAGGGATTACAAATACACATTTAACAAATTCAGAATTATTGGGGATTTTGCTTTTTTAAAAAATAAATCTGCAATTAAAATAGATGCAACATAGCCAATCAATGCTTTCTGAATCTTACAGAAAGTCTAATGAATTTGTTCTGATTTACAGATCACGTATCTGGAATCTCTTTTAAAGCCATTTGTCATTACAGTAAAGGTCTCAGTTGCTGTTGTTAAAACCTTCTCCCCTAACAGAAAACCCAGTGATACAAAATGTGAATGAAAAATTTCAGCCAAACAAACAGGGTATAAGCACATTAGTCACATAAAGTACATTGGCTGCAAACACCAAATACAGTATTTACTACAATTATTAAAATATCTTAGTTAAGTTTATAAGCAAACCCTTTTGCTTTCTTGGTGATGACCTGCTGTTTGGCTTTCATTGACCTTATTAGTAGCACTAATTTATCTGAGTTATCAGTTGATCAGAATCTTCCCAATTTATGGGCAAAATTGGGGCACAGCGTTTTGTAAAAATGGGCACCAATGAGTCTTGGTTGTTCCAAACTGCATTAACCAACCCAGTAGAGCCTTTCAGCAAACAGTTTTTTCATATGCAAGCTGCTTAGAAGAAAAATGATTAACTCGCTAAAGTTCTTCCCCAAACAGTATAACTTCGAAAATTACATCCCTATAAAATTATGAATATATGCTTAGATTTTCTTGAAGACTGGGGCACTAGACAGCTTCTGTGTTTAAGCACTATACATTTAATGCTTCTGAACATTACAGGGCTTACCTGTTCTTAATACTGAATGTTTTTATGTATCTAGAATACTAACAAGGCACATCCAGTCCACAGATATTATTAAAATGATTAAAATAATCATACATAACAACAAAATTACCATTATTGCTATTAGTAAAGCCTCCTCCCCTTAGTTGAAAGGGTTAAACAACTTTGTTGAACAAACAACACTGTGAGTTTACAAACAGAAAGAGTCATAAAGCTCTAAATACTGAATATATGTGACTGGAAAAAAATACTGCATTTTAGCAGGTGAAGAATTGGGGTATTCAATGGACAGAGCTGCAGCAGAGGTTACTCACAACAAAGTCAGACATACTGTGAAAGGAGAACGATACAAATCTCACAGAGTTTGAGACACACTGAACTTTCTCCTGTGAAGCATCCACAAGGTTGGGGTCTGACCAATGGGCCTCAGCTACCAGCTTCAGCTTATCAACAAACTGAATACCAATGTTTTCTAAATTACTCCAGAAATTCTAAATCTTAAAATCTAACATATAAATGGCATAACTTAAACATAAGAATTTCTTCTTCAATTGTAGAAATGACATAATTTTTTAACTTGTTTCTGCTGTATATAAGCTGCATGAAATATTTCAAAGAATGAACATTTTTACATAGGTTATTCATAAAATTATAGATAAATAAGAATCCATGGCTTCACAACATAGCTTATCTTTACAGTAACAAACAACAGAAAGATGATATAACCTACCATTAAAGAATTTGCATACAAATAAATTTTAGATCATAAGTTCACTATGGATATTACATTCTTCAGATAAAATTATTTATTAATGTTTAAACACATTGAAAGGTATCGATAAGAGACATTTTTATGAAGAACTTCCCCACAGCATATAATGCTAATCACAGTAAACACTGTAAAACTAATTTACTGGTAACAATTTCAATAGATGGACAGAAGAGCCCCAAACCAAAACGTAAGTCATGCTAGGGCTTAAAATAACTAGGTCATGTGGACAGTACTAAGGATTGAAGTAGCATCAGTAAAAGAAGCTTCTAATAAAGGCCTCAAGAAATCTACAGAAACACATTATCAAAATGAATTCAAATAAATAACCTGATTTTTAACATATCTAAATAAAATAGTAACAACAAATGAATGACAAAAATTGTCCATACTGAGCATACAGAAATGGAAATATATAAGTAAAGATGTAATTACAAGTTTCTGCTGAAAAAATAGACATTACTTTAATTATGCATATGCCATTTACAAACTCACTAGCATCAAAATATTAGCACCATAGAGACAGATGACCAGCTACAGAATACAGTTTTATGAATACTAAGCATAGACTACTGGTGATAATCAAAAGGCTCCTACACGGTGAGCCAAGAGAGTTTTTGTGGCTAATTCAATAGGCTGTGCATTGCTTTTCCCCTCCTGAAAGTCTTGTTCTCATTCTCCTTTAAACCAGCCTTCCTATCTTTCTTTGCCTATTAGGAGCTACCAGTTTGTGTGATAAAGAATTAAAAATAAGCGTTTAAAAAAAAACTGCAAAGGATTTTATTTTTCAAGTAAAAAATTGGACACTTAGCATTGAAAAAAGCACTTATACTTCTGAAGTCTGCTATTTAATGTAAGGTGATTGTCACAGACTGTCCTAGCTGTTAGTAAACAGCACTGCATCACACGTGAAAAGAGCAGTTTATCATTCAGAGATAAGTACAGGACTTACACAGTGGCTACAATATGTTTATTTTTCAGTTGCATATATATCCGTAACAATAAACTTCCCAATGAGCTCTCACCAAGTTGCAGGAATCTAATGGTGAATGTATTTCTGGGGAATAGACATCTGTTTTTTCAGTGCATGTGCTGTCTCATTCTCTTTGTGAGCTTTCTATTTACATAACAAGTCTGTGCTAACACATTAAAAAAATCCTGTCCCCATCTAATCTCTTAAGATACATACAATATTCTTACAACTATGGTATTTGATGTATCTAAAATTAAAGATACTCTACTTTTCATAAGAACAAATGAAAAATACCAGAAAACGATCTTCCAGTAACAGAAACAAACTCAGTAACTTTTCAATTGTGTGCTGTCACAAATGAGTAGTGAAAGAGAATGGCAGTCAGCCAGTTCTCTTTTGTCTTCAGGTAGGTCTTAAATATGTTTCTGCTAAACCAATCAACTTGATTATTGGCTGTTCCTCAGGTTATTCTTCCCATTTACCCTGTGGCATAACTGAAAAACACTCCTCCAGAAGAGTTAAACCCAAATCAGAGCCACAGGCTCCATGCTGGAAAACACTGGCAAAAGCTTAGAGACCTGTTTACAAGCATTGGGTCTGATTTTATTTTCAACAATTGCTATTTTTATTTTGTTAAGTGGAAAAATCACACAAAATTATATTTAGCGGTTGCATCATCTTCCATAACACTAAAACCACGGTATCATTAATTTCTAGAGGTGGCACTGCTTTACCACCAGATAAACAACACTGCCTGTAGCACCAGCCTACTGAAAGCCCACCGTTATTTTCTGACATATCAAATAAACCAGAAGAAACAATTTTAAAATTTGAAATCACTGTGTTTACTATCCATACGTATGTGAGAAGAAGAGAGAGTGGCAAAGAGAGGATTCACCTACCTCAAATCAGGAAGACTGGTGGAGGTAATCCACAAGGTTTTGGTGGGTCTCTGAACTTTTGGAAAGAATTAGAGAAGTGCTGTTTGTTCAAGTCTTTATGTTTCTTTGCCTGTTTTGTTGCGATAAAGCCGCTTCTTCCTGCAATAAAATACACGCTGTACTAAACCAAGATTTGCAGAAAGACAAGTTATCAATACCTGCGCTTCACGTAGACTGCACAGCTTCTCTAACAGACTGCTTCACTACACAAAAACCATGGGAACATTCAGAAAAGCAAACATTGAACAAAACTGGTGAGTTTACCTAGGCACACTCAGTGGTCAGTGAAGAAAGGTAGAGTTCAAAGTGTGATTTAAAATAAATTAATCTGATCCTAAATACAGCTGTATTCTGAACTGCCCTCTAGAAGGATCTCTTTCTTCATTGACCACAAACACAAAATCAGAAGAATACCCTAGTGTCCAACAGTTGGGTCCAAATTTGGCTATATCCTCCACTGCTTTACACTTTCACAGAATTTAAAGCTACAGAAATAGAGCCCGCACAGCTGGAGAATGGATGAAAGGACTTTTAAATGTGATATTCTTGAGAAGATCTACCATAAAACTTCAGACAAATAAAATTGTAAAAGAAGATACCCACTTTTGCTTATTTATATCTAATTTATATACACCTCTCTCTCTCTCTCTCCACACTCACACGCATACACATATATATAAATTAACATAAAAACCCCAATGTAGCTTAGATACCATTGAAAATAGATTTTAGACTTGTAGGCATTTTTCCCTAAAATGCCTTGTAGATTTTTCACCTAAAACAAACACAGCTACAACTAATTCTGTGACTTGGACGTGTGATGGAGAATCACGAACTCAGCCTAACCAGAGCCTTGTATTTAATTTTATTCTTATAACCAGCATAAACAGTGAGCGAAAACATCTTTGCATGACTACACTTGGACTAACTACAGGGAATGACAGGATTTTCAGGTTTCCCCAACGTAGACTCAGAACCTTGATCAATTCAGAAGACCTGGCTTAAATCAGGGCTCTGTTAGCTCCTCAGCAGAAAGCTTGAAAACTATGGGGACACCAGGTTTTTTCCTTACTTCTTCATTTTCCTGGGACCCTTCCCGAGGAGGAAAACCCCTACGTGTAGCCCCCCTTACTCAGGTTAGAGGGCACAACTCAACCCTCTGCTAAAAGGCTCCTCCTGCTCCAGGCTGCGGGTCGGTGCTGCTCCCTCTCCTGCGCAGAGGCTAACGCCGGTCCGGTGAGTCAGATAAGGGAGCCGATTTGTGTATTTCTGCTGGATTAGTCTTAACCTAGATCGGTTCCCTAATCTCTGTGGCTGGAGGAATGCTCGTGCTGGACTAGACGCTTAGGAAGGAGTGGCACGTGTACAGGAATGAGTAACTCGAAGTGGAAGGAACAGCAGCGAATTTGGCTCATGCCAGTCCAAAGTGCTTGGGGAAACCCAGTTTGTTTGCTCATTTATTTTATTTTAGAGTGCCGTAGTATTGAAAATACCTTCTTATCTCCTGTTTTCATAGGAGGACCACAGTATATTTCATTGTTTAAATAAAAGCAATATTTATCTGTCTACATATTCAAAATGTATGATCCTAATTCTAAAATTTAACTGTTATGATCCCAAAGAGCAGGTAGGCATGTCTAAAAAAATCTGCTTTGAGTGCCTGACTAGAGACATCATAAAGCTGTTGGAAATAATAATATTCCTTCCTTACTGATTAGAATTCACATCTATTATTCAAATATTTGCCAGACACAGTATCTGGAGAAAATGAAGTTAAAACATAACGGATGACATAAGAAAACAAGAAGCAAATATCCTACCTTCCAAGACCACCTTTGCATGAACATATGGCTTTTTCCAAGTATACTGTTCTTTTGTATGACAAGTTGGCCATATTAATAACACTTCAAAAATGCATTTTAACTGCCTAACAACACAATATACCAAGTGAAAACCATTAAAGCTAAACCAAATACAATAACAACAGGCAGGTCTCTCAGAAAAGCTAATTTAAAAATTAGCTATAGCTATAAGGCTAACATACTAACACATTTCTTTTACTAACATGACATATAGCTATAAGGCTAACACACAAACATATTTATTTTATGTATGTGATATATAGCTATAAGGCTAACATACTAACATTTTTCACAGATTTGGCAACAGTATCATTTGAGTGGATGTAGCTTTGAATGGAGAAGATGTAAGAAGGGATACTATCTATTTTTTTGTCTCCAGTTACAGGAAAAAAAAAAAAAAAGAAACGGAGTTTTAATTTGCAAGAAGAGAAAATCAGAGACATCAATTTAGTCAATAGTCTCAATCCTATAAATCCTGCATATCTGATACTTTCATAAAGAAAGTGACAAGTACTAATAATATATCTTACAACCATGAAAAGACTTTTATTTTATAAAAAGCCTTGGTTTTGACAGGAAAGGTGCATGCTACTATTCAGAAACAGCATACATGCAGTCTTCACCCCACAATTTAAAAACTGAATGAAAACAATCAAATTGACAAATAGATCAGTTTCCGACTTTGAAGAAAATCACTCCCATGTACAACCCTGGGTAATAAAGAGGTAAGCACAGTGCAGGCCCGTGTACCATAGCACTCATCTTACCTAACTGCTGGTTGCTATGGCAAGCATTTGCCTGTATTTTGTACGTTAAACAGTAATATGTTTTCTGCTTCCTTATTCTTGATATTTTGATGAAGTTAATACTCAAGATTTGGACCTGTAAGGTATGGAAACTGAAGGTTCTCTCAAATAATCATGCATTCCAATTTATTTTGGTTTTGTGAAAACATCTTAGAATTAAAAATTATTCATTAATTTAAAAATTATTTTCATTCATCTGTAACACAGCTTTTTAAAAACTTGTGATTTATTTCCATTAGCTAGTCTGCATATCTGTTGTACATGCATTTCTATTTTCTAGCTCACAATGGAAATGTAATCTACTTTTCTCCTTCACTGATCTTTAATTTAATATAAAGATAACTGTGAAACTGATGAGAACTGAGATGATAAACAAATAATTTTAGTTCTGTATAATACCAATTTGTCTTTTCCCCTCGTTTTTTTCCTAAACAAATGTTGTTAGAGGTACAAAAGAATGCATTAGTAAAAGAATTTATTTAGTCATTACTATTGCAAACTAACAAATAACGGAGTTTCTTTCTGTACTTGCCTCTACCTGAAACACAGTGGTATTTCAAAAGGTGCGTAAGAGCCAGCCATCAGTACAAGAGCCATTCGAATGAGGACACGACAATGTTAATCCATTTTCTTCTTGATTTCTATGGCTAACATAAAGCCTTAACATACAAAACATAAATACCCCAAAGTGAACACATTTGATAACTCCAACAGCAGAGAGAAACAATTCTCTTCCCACCCCAGGGGTCCCTACCAGACTAACTGCAAACTCAGCTGTCATCCACTGAAGAAAGATCCATGACAAAACCTGGTAATAGTCATAAACTTAAAAAAAACCCAAAACACAACACACTCAAACCCCAAAAAAAACAAAACGGAAAGGAAAAAAAAAGTATTTTTCTTTTGATAGGAATGTTGTTTTCCACTATCAGCAAATGCACACACTCCTCTTCTTCTTCCCACACATGAAAATAAAGAATTTGTAGATGGCTTCATTTGTTTGTTGCATCGTATCTTGACATTGGAAACTAGTGAAGAGAATTTGTCAGTGGGGTCAGTAGTCCTGGATTATGACTTTTAACCTCTCCTATACGTCATAATGTATACGACTTGCAGAAACAGAGTCTCAAATACATATTTACAAATTGCTTAAAGGCCAAAATACATGTTATATGCATTTTATTTACATTAACGTACATTCTTTTTGCACTGTTTGACAGGACACACAAATGTTGCCCTGCAGACAGCTGAACCCATCTTTCCTCCTGCCTCTCCAGCTGCTTGTGTGCTTCCACACTGGGCTGGAACTCGTCTTTCACTGATAAGGCCTAACTGAACCCACCAGTTATGATTCAGATTATTTTATATAAAAATATTTGTGTTGACACCAAGATTGTAAGCTTTTCTGTTCCTCTAAGAACACGGTGTAAGCAGCTGAAGCACTGTACAAATACTTGAATAAATACACCAACAGCATAAGAAGCAGAAGAAACGGATACCTTGACTTCAAGATTAAACTGTTATCCAAAGCCTCAAACTCATTAGGGAAAGAAGAAATTTAATGCAGCAAGCACACCAACAGTTTATACTTTTGCCTCATGATACTTTATCATCACATAATAAAGTGCCTTCTTTTAGACAGGACATTATGCCGTTGTTTAAAATTAAATCCCCCCAAAAGAAAATATCATAAACTTTTCTAAACTATGTTATTTCTTATTTAAAAATTCTTGGCGCAATTCTCTGTAACTGGCAACTCTCATGCAGGCCAAATGCTGCCACGGCAGTTGACGGGAGGAGGACTCAGTGACTTGTGTCCAGCACAGACTCTTTGCATCTATTTCCTTCTGGTCTGGACTCAGTCTGCAACCAATGCCGGTGGCAGAGAAATCTGTTTTCTGCTAAATCTGAAATATTACCTCGTACGTCTGAAGTTCACATGGAAAGGAATCATCCCACCCAGGAACACGAACACTACCACATATAAATGTTTTTTGTGTTGTTACTGCTCAGGTATGAGATAACTGGAAACAGTTAAGGAAGCTAAGAGAAAAAGGAAGGAAGGAAAACAAAAAAAAAAGGTTGTTGCTTCACAATCTGCTCATCACTAAACATGTTAAAGAGGAATTACTTTAAGGAAGGCCAGGGAATAGCTTTCACCACTACTAACTGCAGAGTCAATGGTTTTAACATGTTGAATTTTACTCTTTGTTTGTTTAGTGATGTGACCAACTTTATCACCATAGCACACTGTCTGTATTCTTTGCTTCTATCATCCCTCTACGGCTAGAGGGTGTTAATCTCCTGGTAAAATGATAACCAAAGTCGTCATACGTACAGATTTCATTTCTATTATCTCCACAGCGCCTTACAATGTGTTAAAAATTGTCATGCTACAGAAAAGCCTGGACAGTGTGTACTACAGCAAGTA